AAAAGGGGCCCAGCATGGTGGCACACACCTGTAGTCCCAGATACTCAGGAGGCTCAGGCCGGGGCATTGCTTGAGCCCAGGAGGTGGAGGCTGCAGTGAGCCATGACTGCATAACTGTACTGCAGCCTGGGAAGAAAGAAAGAAAGAAAAGAAAAGAACAGGGGAGGGGAGCGGAGAGGAGAGGAAATTAAATTACACTAAATGAGAATAAGATGTTGTTCTAAAAAGCACTTTTTTTCAAATGTAGAGTAGCATCTAAAAAGCAATTTTATAACTCAATGTATGATACTGAAACTCCCATGATATTAGTAAGAACTAACTGACCACAGTTTTGCAAGTACCTCCCATTTTGTTACACAGAATAACTTTAGATTTCTCTAACAATAAGTAACCGCCTCTCTAATACTTTGTGTAAAAATTATTTCAGTTTATACAGCTAAATACCAAAAAACTGAGGTTCAGGGCCTAGCGCAGTGGCTTATGCCTGTAATCCCAGCATTTTGGAAGGCCAAGGCAGGCAGATCACTTGAGGTCAGGAGTTCAAGACCAGCCTTGCCAATATGGTGAAACTTCGACTCTGCCAAAAAACACAAAAACTTAAGCCAGGCATTGGTGGCGCATGCCTGTAGTCCCAGCTACTTGGGAGGCTCAGGAAGGGGAATTGCTTGAAACCGGGAGGCGGAGGTTGCAGTGAGCCAAGATCATACCACTGCACTCCACCCAGCCTGGGAGCCTGGGTGACAGAGTGAGACCTTGTCTCAAAAAAAAAAAAAAAAACAAAAAACAAAACACAAAAATCACAAGCTGATGTTCAAACTGAAGATTCTTTTTCTCTAAATATCATCTGATTTTTTATTTTTTGAGACAGCATCTCACTCTGTCACCCAGGCTGGAGTATAGTGGGGTTATCATGGCTCACTGCAACCTCCGCCTCCTGGGTTCAAGTGATTCACATGCCTTAGCTTCCAGACGAACTGGGATTACAGGTGTGCATTACTAGGCCCAGCTAAATTTCTGTATTTGTAGTAGAGATGGGGTTTGCCTATGTTGGCCAGGCTGGTCTCGAACCCCTGGCCTCAAATGATCTGCCCACCTCGGCTTCCCAAAGTGCTGGGATTACAGGCATGAGCCACCACACCCAGCCTCTAAATATCACTTTTTATTAAATGGAGTTCTACACTATAAAATTAAAGTTCCTTTGGATGTATTTTACCCAATAATTATATTTTAATGGGCAGAATTTTTCTCACCCAAATAATTATTATCATTAGTTACACAAAAAATGCCTTAATAACATCAAAATTATTGCCAGGTATGGTGGCTCACGCCTGTAATCCCAATACTTTGAGAGGCCATGGCAAGTGGATCTCCTATGGTCAGGAGTTTGAAACCAGCCTGGCCAAAACGGTGAAACCCCATCTCTACAAAAAATACAAAAATTAGCCGGTTGTGGTGGTATGCACCTGCAATCCCAGCTACTTGGGAGGCTGAGGCAAAAGAATCACTTGAACCTGGGAGGTGGAGGTTGCGGTAAGCCGAGATCAGGCCACTGCAATCCATCCTGGGTGACAGAGTGAGGCTCTGTCTCAAAAAAATAATAATAATATCAAAATTATCAATACCTGTTTGTAAAACTGCTATTGTATTTTTCTTGGAGAAATAGGTTCTTATTTTTATTAATTTTTTAATTTTTTTTTTTAAGATGGGGTTTCACCCTGATGGCCAGGCTGGACTTGAACTCCTAACCTCAGGTGATCCACCCACCTCGGCCTCCCAAAGTGCTAGGATTACAGGGGTCAGCCACTGCGCCCGGCCCGAGAAATAGGTTTTTAAAAATAAACTAAAAAACTGCTACTGTTGAAGAGTACTTCTACTGATGTTTGAGGACTAGCTAAAGGAGGAATCTTTAATTAATAAAAGTTCCAAAATAATCTTGTAATATTAAAATAAAGTGAAGAAATAAACTGGCCAAATGATGATCACATATGAAAAGATTTAATAGTGTTCAATTTTTACTCATCAGAAAAGCTCAGCAGTCATGTCACATGCTTAAATCTCATGCTTTAAAACACCACAAGATGGCAGGCTTTAACTGAAGACTAGTCCAGAAGAAGAAAACATTTAACTGTTTAAAAAAAAAAAAAAAGAATCCTATACCAATATAATTTACAACCAAAATGCCTAGTTCACACAAGTGCTGGGTCTCCACAGGAATAGAACTGACAATTGTGAAGAAACCTTTATTTTATCCCACTATAAAATGACCAGAGGCGCTAGGATACATACAATACACTGACTGAAAATAAAACCATCTTTATTTTTATTTATTTATTAATAAATTTGGTTTGAGATAGAGTATCACTCTTGTTGCCCAGGCTAGAGTGCAATGGCTGCAACTCAGCTCACCGTAACCTCTGCCTCCTGGGTTCAAGTGATTCTTTTGCCTCAGCCTCCTGAGTAATTGGGACTATAGGCATGTGCCACCACACCTGGCTAATTTTGAATTTTTAGTAGAGGTGGGGTTTTTCCAAGTTGGTCAGGCTGGCCTCGAAATCCTGACCTCAAACTCCTGACCTCAGGTGATCCACCTGCCTCCGCCTCCCAAAGTGCTGGGATTACAGGTGTGAGCCACCACACCCAGCCTAAAACCATATTTTAAATGCAGTATGACACAGTACTTACAAAAGCTACTGATTCAAAATTAATTACTTAACAATTAAAAATACTAATTTTTAAAGCTCGGGTCATAATGCGGTATTTTTCAGTGTAATGCTGCCCCATGGCAGGAGAAAGACCTGTGCTTTCCAGGGACAAAAATGGTCCAGCAAGAATGATACCTCATAAAATAGCATGTCGATTTTGTAAGTTACTGTATGCAGCAATCTGTAAATTGGCATATTTTATGCAGTATTGTTCTTGTTTATTTGACTGCACAGATGTAACAGGTATTATATGCAAATAGCTCAAAACTCAGAATGTCATGCTACCAAGTGAAAGATACTGTGCAACATCTTGTGGAGTGCAGAAAATACAAGAAGCCAAAAAATTAATCTAAGGCAGTACACCTAGATGACTAGAATATGGCGATTTCTTCCATAAAAATAAAAACCAAGGAAGATAAGGAGGATGAGGGATGAAGAAAGTATTTATTTGTGGTACCCTGAGGGCCAATGATACCAGTGGAAATTTTACAGGAACTTATTTAAATCACAACTAATGCTTCTACTCTTCATTTTATGTCAAGTTCTTAGTTACGTAACACAGTTGTTCTATGAAAATATAAATTGTTCTGTTATAAATATTTCTTGGCCAGGTGCAGTAGCTCACATCTATAATCCCAGCACTTTAGGAAGGAGACCCTAGTGGAGACCCCTAGGCAACATGGTGAGACCCCATCTGTACCAAAAACACAAAAAATGAGCCAGATGTGGTAGTGCATGCCTATGGTCCCAGCTACTACAGGGGCTGAGGCAGGAGAATCACTTGACCCCAGGAGATTAAGGCTGCAGTGAGCCCTGATCGTGGCACTGCACTCCATCCTGGTCGACGAGTGAGACCCTATCTCCAAATACAAATATATATATGATATATATAATATATATATAAAGTGAGTACCTATCTCCAAATATATATATATATATATATATATA